TCGACTGCTACTGACACTGGAAGCTCCTCTGCTACTGCCACGGAAACTGGCAGCTCCTCTGCCACCGATACTGGTAGCTCCTCTGCCACTGACACTGGTAGCTCCTCTGCCACTGATACTGGCAGCTCCTCTGCCACTGACACTGGTAGCTCCTCTGCTACTGACACTGGCAGCTCCTCTGCCACAGACGCTGGTAGCTCCTCTGCTACTACCACTGCCACTTCTACCACCAGCTGTGTCACTGCCCTGCCAACTGTCTGTGCCACGACCCTGCCCCAGGCCTGCCAGGCACTGGGCAGTGTCAGCGGCCTTGCGCTTCTTCCCCTGGTTCCTCTATGCACCACTGCTCTCGGTGCCTATGCTACCGTCGGAGGCATCGCGACGTGCCTGTCCGCGAGCATCACCCTCACCACCTCGGGAGCGAACCTTCTCGCTTGCCTGAACGCAGCCACGCCAACAATTTGCATCTCCCAGCTTCCGGCCCCGTGTCTCGCCATCGGAACCGATCCCATCACCCAGGCGCCGCAGAATGTCGTTGCTTGCACCGCAGCCCTCGGCCCGTTTGCTGTTGGTACGGCTCTCAACTGTCTCCAGCAGGCCATCCAAAACCCCCTGTCTATCCTGACGTGTCTGCGATCGAGCATCGGAGTGGGAGACCCGACTGAGCAGATTTGCACGTCGGCTCCGGTCTCCTCGACCATCGTGACAACGCCGGCTAGCACGGCGACTGATGCGTCGTCGTCGTCGTCTAGTGCCACGGCGGATACGTCTGAGACCAACACCTCGGGTACATCCGCTAGTGAGACAAACACCTCAGCAGGAACATCGGCTAGTGAGACCAGCACTGCAACGGATTCGTCCGCTAGTGACACTAGCAGCTCCACAGAGGCAACTTCCACAACAGAAACTTCTAGTACTGAGTCCAACACTTCGACGGCAACCACCACGAGCAGCAGCTGCGTACCAACCACACAGGCGCCAGTCTGTGCCACGGGGCTGCCCGCACCATGTGCTGCTCTCGGCTCTGCCAATGGCCTCACTCTGGTTCCTCTCCTCCCTCTCTGCGCCGCCACCCCCGCCGGTCTTGGCGCTACCCAGACGGCTGCATGCCTGGCCACGACCATCACCTTGACGACCGTTGGTGCCGACATCGTCGCGTGTCTCAACCAGGCCATCAGCTCGGTCTGCATTACCTCGCTGCCTCAGGCTTGTCTTGACATCCCTACCTCACCTGCCGTCAACCTCCCTGGCAATGTTGCCGCCTGCACCACGGCCCTTGGTCCGTTCCTCGTCGACGCCGCCGCCACCTGTCTCACCACGGCCATCACCGATCCCTTGAACGTTCTGTCGTGCCTGCAAACGGCCATCGGCCTCGGAGATGGTAGCGGAGGCTGCCCTACGTCGTCGATAAACACAACGCCGGTATCGACCGCCGCGACCGCGAGCTCTACTGATTCCGTTGCGACGACCTCGTCGACAGAGGCCACGAGCTCGGCGACAGACTCTGCAAGCTCCACCACTTCTAGTGATGCTAGCTCGGCCACGGATTCTACGAGCTCGACTACTGCGAGCGAAACGAGCTCCTCGTCGGACACTGCGAGCTCGGCGACAGACTCTGCAAGCTCCACCACTTCTAGTGATACTAGCTCGGCCACGGATTCTACGAGCTCGACTGCTGCGAGCGAAACGACCTCCTCATCAGACACTACGAGCTCGACCACGCCCAGCGAGACCAGCTCGTCGACGGACACCACAAGCTCCGCCACGTCCACCGATACCACTTCGTCGACGGACACCACAAGCTCCGCCGCGTCCACCGATACCACTTCGTCAACGGACACCACAAGCTCCGCCACGTCCACCGATACCACTTCTTCGACGGATACGACTTCGTCGACGGATACCACAAGCTCTGCCACGTCCACCGATACCACTCCTAGCTCGACTAGCTCGTCGACAGACACAACAAGCTGTATCCCCACCCCCACCGGCCCGGCCCCGTCTGCATGTGTGACTGCTGTCCCAGCCGCCTGCGCAGCCATTGGCAGCCTCAACGGCCTGGCGATTCTGCCCGCTCTCGCCGGATGCACCCTCGCTCTCGGACCGTATGCCATTGGAAACACCGCCACCTGCCTGGCCACGAGCGCCATCAGCTTCACCGCGAGGGGCTCTGACGTCGTCGACTGCATCCTCACCTCCCTCAGGAGCCGCTGCATCACCACGCTGCCCGACGCGTGCACCAGGTTGTCCACCGGGTCCGGCCTTGCGCTCATCCCCGACGCTGCCCTCTGCGTAACCGCCCTCGGCCCCTTTGCCGTAGGCACCGCCCTTACCTGCCTCTCCACGTCCTCCATCACCAGCTCCACCTCTGGAACAGGCATAGTCACCTGCCTGCAGACCGCGCTCGGCCTGCAGCCCCCTACCCCGACCAGCGGTGCCGCGTTCTGCACGCCTACGAGCACCCCCGCGCCGAGCTGCTCCGTGGCGGTGCCTTCCGCGTGCCAGAGCATCGGCACGACCAACGGCCTTGCGCTGCTGGTCCAGATCCCGCTTTGCGTCACCGCGCTCGGAGTGTTCGGCGTCGGCAACGCGGCGCAGTGTCTCGTGACGACTGACATTTCTATCAGCTCAACGGGCTCCAACATCCTCAACTGCCTCACGACCGCACTACAAGCGCAGTGCCCGAGAGCGCTACCCTCGGCTTGCACTAACCTCGCTACTGACAACGCTGCCCAGCTGCTGATTGACATTCCGCTCTGCACAGTCGCACTCGGGCCATTCGCTGCCGGTGACGCGCTGCTATGTCTCTCGACGACAAGCGGGCTAAGCGGGCCGGCTGTTGTTTCATGCTTGAATAATGCGCTGGGTATTATTGTTTAATTATCTACTGTACCATCTTTACTTAATTTTCATTAGTTAACTTAATAACTTAATTTATTTTTACTTCTACTTCTAATATTTCTATGCTCAAACAGGTGTTTTGCTTTGGTGCGTAGCTCTCGTCTTGCTTTAGTCGCTAGCAAACAGCCGTTGGTAGCAAACGGGGCAGATGAGATACAGCCATTTACAGGTCTTGCCCAACAAAGGATTCAAAATCTTGATACATTTATTTCGCGCGACCCACGGAGAAACTGTGAGTCGTCGCCCGAGATTTACAAACGCAGCTAAGCGAAGTGAGGATAATAGGAGCAAGCCCGCGCAGGAAAGGAACAGTGAAGAAAACAGACCAGTATTTACTAGGATTCGGGCCCGGAACAAATTATACTTGCCTTCAATTCGACAAGTCATCTTGTTGGGAGTAAATGCAACGGTTTTGTTGATGTGCGAGCATGCTGCTCCCCGGGGCAGGGGGGGTGCATTGCAGGCAGTCGGAACCAAACATCGCCGTCATGCGTCTTTCCGAGCCAATCACAAGCGTCAAGTTCAGCCAGAGTAGATATTTACTTAGAGCAAAGCTCCAGAATCAGTAATTGCACTCTGCGTCGCACCTGGCCATCGAAGCAAGTCAAGCGGGGAGCTCGCGTTTGCAACTGGTATGCCCTTCACACACATCACCGTCCGCAATCACGCATAGCAGCATCATAATAGGCATCGCAATAAACAGAAAAATAATACAAAAGAAAATTTCGAAGTTGAACAAGGAACAAAGGCTTTTAAAATTCTCGACAACTAGGTCCGCCGCCGCCGCCGCCATGACCAGAAGGAAGCAAGGTTTCGCAGCCAAGGATCGGAGCTCCCAATGCAGAGTCGAAACATGGCGCCGCGAAAATCGCATGATAATTTTGAGAGGTATGCCATTTAGTACTCTACCTGAAGAATTCGAAGCGGCCTGCCGCGCGCGGCTTTCGCAGCATCAGTCTCTTCAATTCGAGTGGGAGCCGTCTTGCCATCCCTGGTTGATGGACCGGGGACGGGTGGCGTTGGGGTTCGAAAGCGCCGAGATGCGTGCTGAGGCGGAGCGAAGACTGGAAGGATGGTATTGGAAGGCCCATCCCATCAAGCAGGTTACGAAAACGGTAAGAAGAGCGTTAGCTGGTCATGTTCGTCGATGGCGAGTAGGCTGACTGTCTATAGAAGCGTTCTCCAAGAACATGCAGCAAATCGGCCACCGAAACTAAATCTACTACCAATAACCCGTCATTTCTTACAGAAAATGCTTTTTTTGACATTAAAAAGAGACCATCGCCCGCGCAGACTACGAAAGAGACTGCTACTTCTCATCGGCCACCATCGCAGCTCCCTCCTGCCGCAAAGACTGTCGACCTGACGGCGAGTTCGCCTCGCGCGCCCGCTCGCTCGCTCGCCTTCCGCCTCTTAACACCCGTCAACGTGCCCTGCGCTGCTGCCACGGCCGTACAAGAAGCATCTTGTATTGCTGCCGAAGCTGCCGCCGCAGCGGATGCCGCCGTTGCCGAAGCGCACGCGGCCACATTTCGCGCGTTCACGGCCGAGGCGGCGGGCGACGTCGCTGCTGCTGCGTCTGCGCAGGAGGAAGCTTCGGCGGCGGACGAGAGAGCCCGCTCGGCGTATGGAGCTGCTGCGAGTGCTGCTCGTATTGCCTCTGCATACTCGTCTTGTATCAGCTCGCGAGATGACTTTTATCGGTACTGATAGCTATTACATGGGCTGCACCGGACTCTGCTTCTAGTTCTGGGGCTGCTACTACTGCATTCTGTTTTGATTGGAAAGACAACGCACTCCCCAGAAAATTATTTGCCATCAATTTGACACATTTTTATCAAGTACGATACCTAAATCTTAACTTGTACTGCTTTTCCCTCCAGGCCAATCATGGTTAGCCAACGCAAAAGGTGCTGTTGCCCATCGTCTGGCAGGGATCAAGATTCCGCAAGATAGATAGATATCAACAGTTTCTCCGAGATACTGGTCCGAAATTACATGCCACAAGATACATTTAATTACATCTCTGCAGAACAAGCATCAACTGCTGCTCCCGTGAATATCTAGGGCAGCTTAGATAGGGCATAAGTACCACGCTATTGCACACTCGATCCACTTCTCGCTCATGCGTCATTTCATTTGTTCTTCTAGCAGAAATTCGCCGAAAACACGTAAATCTTTACTCCCTACTACGGCGCTATGGTGTCAAGCTACTCCCAGCACTAACAAACCCTTCCACTGTCGCATCATTTGTTACACCCTTTACAGCTTCAAGATGACAGCACATACGTACATTGTCGTGCAAATGCAATAGTTTCGAGGATTGGTAGTTATATACGAGCTTCTAGAGGCTGATTTCTTATTCACAGGCAGGGTAGTCTCAAGTATAGGCGGTAGCGTAAATGGACGGTTCGCTTGTACTTGACATATAGACAGAACGACTTTAGCGTGGGATTACTTATTTAACAAAGGGGTGTATACGGACTTACATGATATAACTTTAGTATGCTAAAATGGAGCCCCGTTTATCTATTCCGTATATATTGTCCGTCTACTATGGAAGTATCATAGACTGTTTCTTTCGATGTGCAACTCCCAGCGCCGTGACTTTTGGTATCCGGGTTGTTCTAAGTTCCAGCGCCTTTTGCATATAAATCTTTGACGACTGGCCTAACGCGTAGACTGTTTTTCTAAGAGGGTAGGTTTTTACCTCGAGGCAGTGGTGAAGCAGGCTCTTCAGCTCCGGCTAGAGGTACGTGATAAATGAAAACTCGTGTAGGGGTCTAGAATCTAGCCGAAGGACCTTGTGGCATGCTCTCTAGAACCGAATGATAGAGGTCTGGCTCTGTGGATGTTTGCTGTTAGTTGACAGGGATGCTCCCTCTGTCATCAGCGGTCAGGTTTTATTCCGCCTTCTCTTCAGCTGTTGGTCGCTGAAGGTCGACACTTACGTAGCTATAAAGCGGGGGTCTTGATAGAGTATCTGGACGAGATATTCCTTATTCAAGGCTTGATGCAGCTAGAACTCCGTGATCGTGTGTCTCGTCGCTTGCCATCCAGCCAAGGCGTGATGCAGCCAAATCTAGGTGCTTGTGTGTCTCATCGCCTGCTATTAAGCGGCTGTAGGCGCAGCACTGTAAACAACACCTATTGACGGCATGGTGCCTACATTCCAAAGGCACGATATAAAGCAAACCATGGCAATCTCATGGATATCGATACTGTATAATACCTAGATAGCTCAACGACGCATGCTCAATGATATGCGACGATAGGTCTTTACCTTGCCTTCTGCAGGCTACACAGTGCCAAAATTCAGAAATTGCCAGCGCCGTACATAAGCTAAAATTCAGTAAGCTACTGTAATTAGCAGATGAAATTCCTGTGTTATGGCCACGCAGTAAAGGCAACAGCTTCGAGGTCATTAATCGACGAACTTCCCGTGCATAAGAAAAAGAAGCGCCGATGCATGTCAACTTAGAGAGTGCTTTTTTTTTTTTCGTAAACAGCTTCAGAACAAGAGTACAGTTAGCAATCTTAGACTCTTGACTCCTCCAGAAAGGGAAGAAAGTAAATGCCAATTTAGTGCTCGCGAAAAACCTTATCTTGCGAGATCCAATCTTCTTATTCGACGTGGCCACCATGAGCTCCTGACCGTTGAAGCCAAAGTGAGCTAAACCTTTCCTAGCGGTCGGCCCGATCATTATCAGCGTTAGCTACCTACAGCTTTGATAGAAACATGGCAGTCTTGAGAAGAAGAACCCCCGGAGAAACTCTCGCTAAGTTCAAATGTGGGCAGTAGATGAGCCTGGCTAGGTAGCGCCGGTGCCGTCAGCAACTTCTGGCTCCCCCTTCATCTGCCTCAAAAAATCAACGTATGCTTCTGCGGCCTCATGAGTTCCAGCGTCGATGTAGGCTTCTTTGCACCCCAGACCTGCATCGGCGTGGAAGAGGGCCTTCGGTACCGTATGACCAGCTGCCAGATACCACAGCCGGAACTTTGTTCCTAGTGTAGTAAGGATGTAAAGGCCTTGGAGCGAGCGTTCTAAAATGACTGGGATCGCGTAGCTGATAGCCTGCTCCTCAAGTGCTTGAATAGGCTGACCCTCGCGTTTGGCAACATGCAGCAGTGATCCGATTTGAATATCCTGATTGCCGTCAAGCCGCTCAACAAAGGTATCCATCGTCTGCTTTCCATTTGTTTGGTCTTTGTGTACAGGCTGTCTCGGTGCAACGAGCCAGCCTTCATGCATAGGAAAATCTCGATTTAATCTCGGGTTCCAAAATCGGATAGAGTATCCGTATTCTTCCGAGGCACTGGCCTCCATGTACAAACTGTACATGTGCTCAGTATCGACGAGAAAGTTGGGCTCCCAAGACATGATGATTGGACTTGGACAAATGAAGAAGTTGGTAAGGACTTGAGGCCGGATGGTGCTCTATTTTCAGGTGAAAACGTGAACAGCCAAGTAAAGTGTCTATTCTCGAAGAGTTCGTTCTTCACTCCTATTTGCGACTTCGTTCACTGGACACAATGTGAATCACTTGAACTGACTTGCGAGGTTGTAGAGTGGCAGGAGGTGCGGGGTTGCATAGTGACGGGAGGCAGAAGCAACAAAGTACATTATTAGCCGGAGAATTTTCTTGGACTACTCCACTGCTCCGTCCGACCGAGGCTTCCGCCAAGTCTTTATGATTATAAGTTTTCAAATTAACTTATACTAGGTAGATAGCTTTATATATACTACTATATTTCATATATAGATAGCAGTATTATAGTACCAATGCCTTTTCTTAGTCCCTAACGAGAAATCCATTAATAAAGTAGTTTTAAGTATATTTATTATATCTATTCTAGTATATCTATTATTATAATATTTCGGGGAGAAATGTAAAAAGCCTAGAGTATCACATGCTATACATAAGCCTATCTAGTCGGCTATAACAGAAAATTTGCCTAAGGTAAAATCTGTAACAGTAGGTAATCGTTCTAAATCATCCAGGTCCTATCACTAGTTACTGTATATTATATATCGGGATAAAGATTCGTTCGTTACGAGAGGATAAGGGCTTCACAAAGACGATAGCTATTTAGACTGGTATAACAAGGAACTAGGCAAATAACAAGCGATTCTCAACACCACATACTAAATCAACGTTATAAAGAAAACACTGTAAAATTATATAACATACTACGTAGACATGAAATATTAAATAATAAACACTTTTTTTATATTCAGTCTATATATAGCGATGCTAATATTAAACAGCAATAAAGTCTTATCGTATTAGGTTGTTAGCTTAGCTATTTAGATAGTAGGGGGTTAAGGGGTAGACAAAAAACATGGCGGATTTACACTGATTTTAGCGCATGATTAGCAGTGGTTGTAGGTAGACAAGCGCCATGTTTCTTGTCTACCGAGTGGGGGTCAATGTATCACACGATAAAATGTAATCTCGGCACGACGTATAGATTGGTTGATTCAGTTTGAGACAAGGTCAAAAACAGTATGCTCATTATGAAATTGCGATAAACAGAAAGACGAGACAACTCGGTGGATACGAAGTGCTAAGAAGTTTATTTGTGTGACACTCGAGGTCTAGATTGATCGCTAACCTGTAGAGTAAATCACAGACTAGTACACTTGAGGGCAAAACTGGCTGTCGCTTTTGAACAAGAGAAAAAAAATTCTTGTACATTTTTGAAGCATCTGAAGCTTCCATCAATGACAATGAAATGCGACCAATTTTTATGTTACTATGATGATCCAAAGCCTTCATCTAAGGCGACCTTCTGGTCGACATGAGGGAGAAGTATTTACTTAGCCTTATGGCCGTGGCTGCACAGGTGGAGCATAGCGTAGGAAGACAGCAGTCTAGGGAGAGGAATGTACGGGGAAAATGTTTCTGAGTCGTCTCTAGCTAACTACAGGTTGCCGGGGCGAAATTGTTTATTACTTGGTATTTTAGTAAATACAGGATAGTTTCATACTTGATCATTAAGTTAACAACATAAATAAAAAGTATTTAATACTATTATATCCGCTGAAAGCCTTGCTTTCAGAGAAAGCTATACCACAGACGAATATTAGTGACTTACTTGAAGGAACATTATTTGATATACTATGAAATTCACAGCAGTCATCACTATAATTCTCAGCGTTGCGCTTGCGCTTCCAAACCCAGAAGAGGCAGCATTTGTAAGTCATCAGTAAAACCGGTGTAAGCTATGATATGATTAACACAAGATAACCTTAGGATTTACAAGCACGGATTGAAAGAAGTAAAGATGAAAGCACAGCACCAAGACCCTTTGTAAGTCCTTTTAAACAAGCAGATAATAGTATCAGCCACGGGAAAAATTAACGTGACGTAAATATAGGGTGGTCTCATAAACATATTTTAAGTGCCGTTTGTTCGGGGTGCTGGTGCTGCTAAAGCAGCATTAAAGACCTTAGGAGGCATGGCAGAATAAAGTGTTCAAGGGGCTGATAGGGGGAGACTCTTAGATGTCCCATGAATAGTTGCTTCAGAAGGTGCTAGCGGTGTTGCCACAAATTTTCTCAATGAAACTTACGTAGACTTCATTAGATAGCTTACTCAGGCAATTGAGTGGTCCTTGTCCACTTTGTCAGTCAAGTCCGTATACAGTATTTCAGAGCAACAAATATATCAACTCACTTAAAGGCGGTTGCACAAAAGACCAGTCGATACTATCAACAGATCCGAGCAGGCCAGGTTAGGTATGTTACCTCCGTATTCAAAGCTGGTCAGACCTACAGAGAAACCCATGCGAGCTGAAGGGAGTTTGTCAGCGTCATAACTAATTGCTGAATAATAGCACGTGAACGCTGACCAACCTCACTAGAGCCCGTCTATTACACATGGCAGTTACATACTAGGAATTCGATACACATACTATTAAACATCATCGAGGTCGTGCGTTGTAGTCTAAAGATTAGGCAGGAGTAGTGAGAAGTTTTATGTGATTGGCTGTTTCCTACACCCTGTGCGTAACTCTGCTTGACTACTTACTGGTCTCAGGCCAAATTCTCAGCTTACACATGCACACACCTGCGGGGTCGGTTATGATGAAGTTATTTCTAAGCTAGAAGTCCTCCGCGGACTAGACACGGACTTCCGTCTCAGCACCTGTCCCGGACCTAGTAGACCATCCTCTCGGATGTCCGAAGGCTCCGGGGCGGCTCGATAGCTAGGATCTCAATCTACGAAGAGCTACATAATACATATTATTAGCAGCGTTATGTCCTGTAGTAGCTAGCAAGGTAACCACGTACCTTGACGTGCTTTGAGTTACGCTACGATCTAGTATCCACCACGTCCGCGGGCATGCTAATTAAAGTTCTTCTTAGTCGACCCCGCATCTGGAAAGCTGGGGAGAGAGGACTAGAAAAACTGCCAGTTGACGTATTAATAATATGACGTTACATTGGGAAGGTTCTCAGCACAGTCGGTCATCCCAGCTGGTTTGGTTACCAAGAAGTAGCTGAGGACGCGAGTTCCGTCTTTTCGGCAATGTAGGCGCCAGCTACTGGTCTCTCTTTGAAGTTTGTTAACACATCATCTCTGCAGTAAAATAACATACCAATGTACGAACGTGTGATTTCCGTGCGACATATGTATAAAGGCCCGGCGGCTACCCAATCTAGGCTGTTGAAGCAGCCGCAAAAAAAGTCACTATCGTTGTTCACTGGCATCGCTATTGAGCATACTCTGAATCACACTCGTCTGGAACTCCTCAAAAAATTCCAACCATCTGAAATATTTTACCGCTGTCATTATGCCTGTAACAAAGTTTGCTATCCCGGAGAAGTATGACTATCTGGAAGGTTGTGGGGCCTATCACCAGTACGTGTCACCGTTTTCGTTTTTACATGGAAGACGTCACTCACAAGTACAACCAACAGATCGGAAGCCCTACCAGGAGCAAATCCAGTCGCAGCCAATAGTCCCCAGGTGCCGCCTTACGGTCTCTACACGGAACGTCTATCTGGGACTTCGTTCACAGCACCACGGGCCGAAAACTTACAGACCTTCATGTATCGAACCTCGCCCACGGTCGATCACGGCCCATTCATGCCCTATACTGATGACAGGCTGTGGTCAAAGCCAGAAGGAGATCAAAAGCTTCTCATCACTCCTAACGTCATGAAATGGGATGCCTTTCCGGTTGGAGCAAAGGGAGACTGGGTCACCTCGCAGCGTATGATTGCCAAGGCAGGAGATCCTGCTACAAAGACGGGTCTTGCGTATCACATGTATGCTGCTGTCGAAGACATGGCTCCAAACAGCGTGTTTTTCTCTTCGGATGGAGATTACCTTGTCATCCCGCAGGCAGGTACCTTGGATGTCAAAACAGAGCTGGGCAATCTCTTGATTCGACAAAATGAAGTTGCTGTCATTCCTCGTGGTGTCCGCTATCGAGTTACTCTCCCACATGGACCAGCACGAGGGTACATCTGTGAGCTATTTCAGTCCCATTTCACGCTCCCTGAGCTAGGGCCACTTGGGTCTTGCTCTTTGGCCAACGCAAGAGACTTTCAAATTCCTGTTGCTTGCTTCGACGGCCGAGTCAATGAAAGCGGCAACGCAGAGACAGCTCGTGGCGGACAGTGGTCCGTCATCACGAAGATGAACAGCACACTCTTTGTGTGTACCCAAGACGACACCCCTTTCAACGTTGCTGCCTGGCACGGAACATACTATCCGTTCAAATACGATCTAGGTCGGTTCTCGGTCATTGGAAGCACTCTGTACGACCATCCAGATCCGAGCATTTTCACTGTCCTCACCGCCCCATCTCATGGCCAGCCTGGACATGCAGTGGTGGATTTCGTCATCTTCCCACCTCGGTACAACGTTATGGAAGATACTTTCTGGCCGCCCTATAACCATCGAAACATTATGGCAGAGTTTATCGGGGCTATAATCAGTGATCAGAGCCCAGACTCTCAGCCCACGGATATCAAGTTTAAGCCATTTGCTGCTAAATTGACTAATACAATGGTGCCTCATGGGATGGACAAGCCCGTCGTTGAGGCTGCGAGGAAGAAAGTATTGAAGCCTACCAAGGTTGACGACGACGGGTTAATGGTCTTCTTACTGGAGAGCGAAATGATGGTGGGGGCCAGTGAGTACGCGGTCAAAGCTGCCCAAAAGACGGAATGAGATTTTATAGGCAGTGAGCACAACAGATCTCTGTTTTTGTATTTAACTGCTACTTTCTAGAGTTTTCATAAATCCATTTATTCAGCTGTATATGCATTTGTTAAGTTCCTGCAACGAATGACGATTCAGTGTAGGCTCGAAGGAAAACTTTCTATTAGTCTACAAGTTATATTTGTGAGTTTTTGAGAAACAATCACTCAAAGTATGCCCTTATTGCCTGTTGATATTTCTCCCTCATTCATATTTACACAAGCCTCGATGATGGCAATGGAGGCCGTCAGCGGCGCTGTCTCGTCACAGAGGTGAGTGGAACTTGCAGGCGAGTAAAGGGCCTGTCGCAGGCAGGGTAGGTAACAAATGAGGGACAACGGTGTTTTGGCTTTGTGACGCTACCAATGCTCTAGGCGTACATAACTTGCGACCGCGTCCCGCGGACGAATTTTTCTCCAGACGGAAACCGGACTCTTAGCCCTAGCCGAACTCCCGACCGTTGCAGCGCTGTTCTGCAGGTACAAGACAACAACAACCAATTGCTTGACAATAGTGTCCTAGTACAGGTGCCACTATGACTTGGCGCAGACCCAGCTCGCTAAGCAGTGTGGGATAACGTTGCGGGATAGAGACGTTGATTGGCATTCGAGGAGATTGTTAAACAAAGAAATCAAGCAAGTAAAGGGGCTTTCTGACAATGAATAAATAAAACAGAAAAATTCGGGCCTAGAGTTTCCATCATGACACGATATATTCGCAAGAAATAATTTCCAGCATTGGCGTGGCCTCGTGGTGTTTCTAAACCGGCCCTAGCTGGTACGTGATGAGGTTGAGTTTCTTGGCAAAATGAAGCGGGATGAACCGAGACTTTATCGGCCATCCCATTTTTGTTGCCATTTTGGTCAAGATCTACGTTCAGCTTTCTGCAGGCTAGCTAGAGTTTGGGGTTCGGCTCAATAAGTCAGGGTGGCAGCCATCAAATGGAACTAACTATCCGTCATTGCCGTAGCCGGCGATAGCGGACACTACTAGCAGGCGCAGAGAAGCATAAAGCTCTTAGGGCTCCTTCGGGTCGTTGGGGTCGATTTGCTTTCGAACCTCCTATCACCCTTTGCTACTCATTCTTCACGCTTGCTCATTTTTGCCCTTGATACTGTGTGCACAATGATATCTAATAAAGCCGCGTGGATTAAAAAACGCCATGAGCCGATTGAGGTGGAAACCGCCGAGTTATGTCTTCCCGAACGTGGTGAAGTATTGGTTCGCAATGAGGCTATAAGCTTCAACCCAATTGATGCCAAAATTCAAAGGTAAGTACTTGAATATGCCGGTTGATGGGGAACAGCCGTTGGAAAAAGTGCTAACTGTACTGCAGGCTAGACTTGTTCAAGTCAGAGTACCCCCTCATCGGCGGGTTCACGTTTGCGGGGACCGTGATCAAGATAGGCCCCGAAGTTGCTTCCGTCAAACCAGGAGACCGAGTAGCTATTGCTCGCTGGGGCAGGGCCGCAATCGAAAACAGATTCGGAGCGTTCCAGCAATATGCCATTGGCCTGGAGCAAAATATACTGAAACTCGGGCCGGAAACCTCTCTGGAGGATGGGGCTGGTGTCATCGCCAACCTCGCGACCGTAGTTTCTGCTCTGACGATTCATATGGGCTTGGCGAAGCCGCCCGTGGCTGGAATCTCGGAGCCCAACGGAAAGAGGATTTTCATATATGGGGGATCGTCGGCTGTTGGCGGGCTGGCAGTAAAGTATGCCACGGATGCTGGTTATCACGTGGTGACGACCTCGTCACCGAAGAACAGGGCGCTTGTGGAAAAGCGAAAGGCGACACACATCATCGACCATACTCGGCCGAAAGCGGACCTAATTCGAGAAATACAGGCTCATGGGCCTTATGAGGGCATGCTCGAGACTATTGCCTCCCCGGCGGCGACCAAGCTCATGGGTGAGCTACTTCAAGAGACTGGGGGCCTATTCTTCTCGACCGGTCCGACTGTAGAGGACAGCGCACTTCCTGGCAATGTGCAGAAGAAGTGGGCGGGGTACTCTGAAGACTTGGTGTCGGAGGCAAGCAATCAAGACCTGCGTAACTGGTACCTGAGAATCTATCTGCCAGCAGCTTTGAAGAACGGCAAAGTATGGTCCAACCCTCCGTTGAAACTCGAGGGAGGGTTGGACGCCGTTCAGCGGGCGCTGGATCTATTGTATGAGGGCAAAGTCAGTGGATCCAAGGTGGTGGTGAATCCCTTGGATTGATCTGTGCTGCCGGTTCTTTGTTTCTATCATTAAGTATGTTTTTATACAATATGTTACAAGTATTATAATTCTTCTGTTGGGTCCATGGGCGGAAGGACAGCGTCGTGGCTTCATTGTAGTACTATCCGTGGAAGGGGTCCCGGTGGCGATCAACGCAATCCATTCAACCTGAGCCATCAATTGATTGAGTTGGCTTTGCGTTGATGGTTGACGAGCCCCATATAGGTAGCTAACCAGTTATTGAGAGGCTCTGATAGGTTCTCAATAGAGACGTAGTAGTCAACTCCGCCACAGCTACGCGGGGTTAGTTCGGATACTAGTATGAAAAAGTTTTGGTCTGAAGTGGGTATTGAAGAATCATACCCAGCCTCGATTTGAGGCGCAAGTTGCTCTCCGTCATTGACCCGAGAAACCGAGTAACTGCACGGCACTTGCTTGTCTCCACTGGTTGCGTAGGAAAGTTCGGAATAGCTCGCATTGTCATTCATGAGTCACGTTCTACCTATAATAAGATCTACGGCAGATTTTCTATGGAAGATTAGCTGATTACTGTACCCATCACAAAGCTTTGATCCTGAAAAGTACTCCTTGTATTAGCAAGGATTCAAGAAAAAACAGTGTTTATTGGCTGGGAAGACCTGCACTGCCCATATTTCAGCCTCTAAAATGCGAAAATTTACCCTGTCTGATCAGTGAATAATAAATCATAACAAAGTCAGGATACTCATCATCCGGGCCTTATATAATGCCCTCTTGGAACCTTTATTCCGCTAGATTTCATCACATTGCAGCTTCACCTCCAAACTTCTCATTACTTCTAAACTTTGAAAATCAGAGCGTATCACCTAGCACAATCTGGAACAGAATGGGTTTCCTCTCGTCGGCCAAAGCGCTGCTGCTTTCCGCGCCATTCGCAATCCCATTAGCTTCTGGAGTTGCAGCAATGCCGTCGCAACGCAACGAAACGGTTCAACGCGGTAACCCGCTGTCGGACGAGTTTGGTCGATATGTGAAAGGACTTATGGATGAATGGAAGGTGCCGGGCCTGTCGCTGGCTGTCATTGACGGCGATCAGGTGTACACAGAGGTAAGTGCTAACCGTTCAACGACCAATATTTATAAGTGTTTTTTCTGACAAAATTATTACAAAAGGGTTATGGCTTTTCAGTACTGCCAGACACGCCTGTCAAGCCGGAAACACTATTCCTCGGCGGGTCGACCACAAAGGCACAGGTAGGTGCTGCGCTTGCGCACCTCATCTCCACCGGAGATTATGACACGGCTTTTTCTCGCGGCTGGGAAACACCCATCTCTTCAATCATCGAAGAAGATTTTGTCCTAAAGGACGAGTGGGCTACCTCCCATATCACGCTGGAAGACGCCATCAGCCATCGTAGCGGCATGCCTGGACATGACTTTGCGTGGATCGGCACGAGCGACCCTAGCGATGGCAACAACACGCGCAAGACCAACAATACAAGCAAGACCAACAGAGCGACAGTCAGGAGCTTGCGTCATCTACCACTCACAGCTGAGCCTCGAGTGGTCTTTCAGTACTGCAACCTCATGTACATTGCCCTCTCCCACGTCATTGAGACCGTCACTGGCTCGTGGTTAGGGGACGTGCTGCGCAATGTCATCTGGCAGCCTCTGGGCATGAACTCTACGTTTTTATCGTATAGCGAAGCGCGGAGAAGCGGTCACCAGATCGCGACTGGGTATTTCTGGGACGATGAAGCGCAGGAATACGTGGCGGTGGAAACGGATCCGGTCCAGTACTCCAGCGGTGCAGGCGCCATCATCACCAATGCCATTGACTATAGCAAGTGGGTAAAGTGTCTTTTGCATGAGACGGCTCCCTTTTCGGCCGCAACGCACCAGGACATCAAAACCCCGCGCACACTCGAAATCACAGGCGGCGCCTCGCGCAGCTGGCACGTGGGCGACTACGGTCTCGGCTGGAGAATTGCCACGCTCCACGGCAAAGCCGTCTACAAGCACAATGGCGGCACGCAAAACTTTGGTACAAATGTCTTTTGGATGCCCGAGATCAAATTTGGAGTGGTGGGGTTTGCCAACGCCGTGGACAATGGCAACTTTATCAAGGACATTATAACTCAGAAGCTAGCGGAGGACAGGCTAGGCATCTCCCCGAGCGAGCGCCTCGATGACGGCCAAAAAGAGTACGAATCCCCCATTCCCAAACACGTTCAATACTTTTTGTCAAAACTCCTGTGAACCAGATACTGACTATGATGTAGGAGGAAGCGGCAGCTGGAGCAGGACAAGCAAAACTTTAACAACGCGACCAATATCCTATATCCCAGTTATGCCACCAACGGATCTTCTCTGGCAGTCGACTACGACCTCTTTGTGGGTACGTATAGCAACCCTGGTTATGGCAACTATACGTTTGCTGTGGAGGATGCAATGCCCTTCCCCGGCGCGGACTCGACAAACCAGACGTTGCAGAAGCAGCTTGTTGCTACCCGTACGGACCTGATTATTCCTATGCGAATGATTCTACGTCATGTCGCTGGCAACTACTGGGTTGCTTACCTCATACCTATACTTGGATCGGCAGCAAAACGAAGCTTTTATGCTGCCAAGTTTGTTGTGGGGGGAGATGGTAAACCGACTGCGCTTGAGATTACATGGCAAGGTGCTGTTGAGCGCCTGTCCGAGGTGACCACTCGCTTTGACCGAGTTGGCTGAATTGACTAGCTACTGTGACTGGTGTCGTTTGTGTATAGAAGCCAGTTTGATGCTGATATGAGCAAGGGATGTCCAAGTTAGGAAAGGTGTGCGATCGAGATTGCGTGACTACTCAGGTAGATTAGTTTATTCATTGTGTTCAGCAATAAGCACACTGGACCCCACTAAGTAGAGGAGAACAATAGAGGTCAGAATAATTAATCTTGAGAGACAAAAGCATCAATCCGTAACATTAGCACCCACTGCAAAATTTTCCTGGTGGTGGCGGGAACTGCAGTGGCGATTATGGAAAAGCTAAAGTATTACAGGTTAGCGTCTGTCAGGGCACCAAGCTGGTTGATTACACCAAAGGCAACATCTTTTAGTTCGTAGACGGTAAAAGCAGCAACGCTATTAAATTTATAAATTCAGGGAAAAAGGCCCCTGTCCCAACGCAGGCTCTGTCCTAGTCCCGAGCGAACGGTCAGCCACTCCAATCTGGGAATTTACAGATTGACTTTGCGGGGAGGTGTTGGCGCTATAATTCGGATGTACCCGAGTGAGATGCCCGTTTAATTTCCGAAGTGTGAATGCTGGACAGGTGAGTCAAATTGCATACATTGAGAACATTACCATAGCTAGCCTGTGTTGAGCTCAACTGTTGCGATGGCTAGCATACGGATGGACTTTTGCCGAATACTAAATACAGGTAAATTAATTACCTCAGTCAAGACAACGCAATTGTATTGCTTCTCAACATAAGACCCAGGGGCTATTTACAGGCTCCCCACCCACGAGCGCGTAGCAAGCCTCAACGCAGCCAAGCGACGCAACAGCAATGCCCTCGTCAGTTGGTATTGGAAAACATGTCAGTTTTTCATTGGTTTCAATTATTCCAAATTGTTTCAATGAGGAATATAAGCTCGGTCAGGCTCACCCTTACAACGGCAGCCTAATACTAGCAGCCACCATGGCGTCATGTGCACTACAGCACCCTACAAAAGGTTACGTACAGTGGGTACATCTCTGTATTTCAGTGACTGTGTCAACGTTTACAGGGCAGGCATGGTGCTGGCGAGCGAAACATCTGCGACGGGCTGCTGTGCTGGCCAGGCTCAGAGTCTCACTCGAGCAAAACTCCAAGTAGCAAGATGTCGGTCAATTCATAAAGGGGATTTAGCGTGAATGAATGATGTTGAATCATTCTTGCCAACATGTCCACCATACTGTTAAAGTGCTGGCTGCCATACAAAAATCGAGTGACATCAGACAACAGGTAGGTAACTAGGTAGGTACTGCCAACTTTCAGCGGGCAAATACTGCCCCATGTTTAGGTAAGCCCCCCCTAATAAATCCAAAAACTTGCCCCTCACGACACCCTCATCGACTTGGGCCGTGAAAAGTCAAGCATCTGCCCATTCGCAGCCGTCACGTTCTTCAGCTCCCAGTTCTGCACAAAGCTGTCAAAAGTCGCCAGGCGATTGTACGAAAGATTTGCCCAGTCGCACAGCGTCACCTTGGCGCCCGATGCCGGCTGGACCTGCACATCCAGCCCGCTGATCCATCCGGGCAGCTCATAGCCCGACCGCTGCCCGGCCGGGAGGCAATACTTGCGGCCGCTCGTGAGCCCAAAGATGCAGCCGAGCGCCGTGCTGCTCGTCACGACGCGCATAGACTTGGGATGCGAAAAGTCGAGCGTCTCCCCGTTGTCCGCCTTGACGGCCTTGAGCCTGTCGTTTTCTACGGTGCCCTCAAACCTGGCGAGGCGGTTGTACGACAGGTTGTCCCAGTCGGACAGCACCACGGCGGTGCCCGGCGCGGCGTCCACGTACACCTGCTTATTATAGATCCAGCTCGGCAGCGAGTACGGGGATCGCTCGCCCGCCTGCAGGCAGTACTTGTCGTCGTTGTCAATGTTAACGATGCAGCCCAGCGGCTTAGCTGCCGATGACAGCAGCGCGTCGGCGTAGATGCCCTGAATCCAGCGAATGTACTTGGAGACGCGCGCGCCTGTCGATAGCGTGCCATGCCCGCCGTTGGTCGTCGCGATGATGACGGCCCGGTTATCGCGTATCTGCCACCACGCCGAGCCGCTGTCTCCAGGCGCCACGCGCGCCCACGACTTCGACGGCCCGGTTGGCTGAAACGTTGCGCCGATGCCATAGTCAAGCTCAAAGATGCTATCAATACGCCCGCGTCCGTACAGCCGCCGCGCGCCTGACGCTGGAAAGTACGAGCCGCTGACGTCTGTGCCGACGCCCCACGTCCCGTAGCCGACCAGGATCACGTCACGGCCGCGCTCGTCCAGCGCGTCGTTGAGCAGCGGCCGGTCTAGCGGCAGGCCCGTCTTGCCGACGATTTGCGCGCGCGTGGGCAGCTTGAGCAGCGCAATGTCAGTCGAGGCGCCGCCCATGCCCGGGGGCACGTTGACGCGCTCGGGCGGTACGTATGCGGTGCCGGCGCCGGAGGCGATGACGCGTCCGTCCCACGCGGTAAACTGCCGGTTAACGCTTGTCACCTCACCGGTGTAGCCGACGCAGTGCGCGGCGGTTAGGATGTACGTGCTGCCGTCCTTGTCGCCGAGCCAGGTGGCGGTGCAGCCGCCAATGTCGCCGACGACGAGCCACGGCGCGTTGTAGCTGTACGAGCGCAGCACTTCGTTCTTGGTCCGGATGCTGTTGGGAATGTCGGAAAGGTCGCCGCCGTTGGCCTTGAACGTCGCCTCGTCGATGACGATGGGCGTGGCCGACGACAGCCGGGCGAGAGCCGCGGCGAGCGAGAGACTCAAGACGGGTTTCATATTGGGGGGCAGCAACAACCAAAAGACTGTCTCAAGGATGACCTACAGAAGGAATTGTTTTGGTCAAGGATGGGACCTTGAGACTTGAACCCTATGAGCACCAGGGTTGCGTGGACAATGAAGCCATGCACGCGCAGACACTGCCTTCTTATAGGTGAGCTCCCGTGTTCCTAGAAGACCTCTGTTCTTCCACCGTAGTGCCCGTTACCTAACTAACAAGACCAGCCTCTGTTCTCCCACCGCAATACCCATTACCTAACAAGAGAGGCCTTGAGAGACATGCGTCTGTTGTGCGTTCCTATGCCGACCGCTCATCCCGCCTCGCCCTCTGTCCGAATTCCCACCTGGTGGAGGTATAAGACCTAATATCAGCCTCCCTGTATCACTCGATTTCGGTCCCGGCAGACCATCTCATGCCCTGGGCTGACGGTGGCAATGCTGCTTTTGGGCGAATTAATCGCATCCCATTATCCCCACAAACAATGCCGTTTATGTTGCCAAGTTTCTGCGGGGATTCCGACGCAATGTCTTGGCCGAGAAAAAGAAAACAAACTGACACAACGCGCTCCAGTACCTCAACTACCGAAGTTCGTGGCGTATGCTGTCCCTTGTAAAACAATGTCTTGTTGCCACATTGCTCTACATCCCCACAAACCGCCTCTACGGCTAAAAACTATCGCTGGTCTTTGCTCTCGTCGTTGAAAACGATTGCGAGGGCAATAGTTGTCGCAGGGAGGACGCTGACGCTGTTTTTCTTTTTCGGCCAGGTAAAATGAATTGAGGAATCGACGAGAGCTCCCGCGGAGTTGACGCGATCAGGGCGCCGGGTTCCATCCCTACAGCCCCCTTAATATTGGTCATGGGGTGCCTTGATCCGCTCTTGCATGCCCGTCTTTTGTGCTTCTCAATCCATGACCTGAATCATACTTGGCCGAGGTAAGCGTACTATTCTGTGTGATGGCTCGTTGGGCACGAGAACAAAGACGGCAGCGTTTTGAAGCAAGCTGCCCATCGCGTGCCGGCTAGCGGCCAAAGGATTGCTGACACTTGAGCGCGGGTACATCTCTGATGTATTTCTTCGTATGCGAACGCGAGATTGGGTATTGACGTGATGGAGCTCTTTGACTATATTTACTAGTCGGAGAACAACCTCGTTGCACCTAGATGCACTAAATGACGGCATCACCTAGTCGCGAAACGTCTTCAAGATCATTCCTCAGACGTCGTCACATGCCACCAAAGCCTTTAGACAATCTCGAACGTTGTAGCCGCGTGCAGACAGGCCGTGGAGGAATTGCAGGTGCATCTGCAGGACTGAATCAGCGACACGCAAAGCAAAAGTACACCGAGATGCTGTCTATTAAGTCTATCTAGGCGTTAGGGTCTACACCGCAACCAGGCTCCGCGTATATTTACTATGTATAGTATTTACGTTTGTTTTGTATGCCTGTCAGGTAACTCTCTCCCTAGCCGAAAATCAACCCCAGTCCGATGAAATACATCTTCGCCCCTACGTCGCCCCCCTTGTCGGTACCAGCTTGGCATACAATACTTACCCATAACACTTAGTAATCGCAATATCTTGGTTGATAGTTGACAGACGCTCTACTTGGCCACACATTTTTCTTTTTCCAAGTATTCCCTACAGAGGACATGTGGCGTATGCAGGTGCGGAAACAATGTCTTGCTGCAGATGAGGGGCAAGGGTTCAAGGAACTGACTTGTCGTAACTAGAGAAACTGATTAACCTTTTCCTGGTCTTAAGCGCAATGATTAAGGAAGAGAGAGGCAAGTCCGTCGCTGCTCTCACAGCTTCGGCCAGGCCGTCGTCGTCGTACAACCTCTCCCA